GGTCAACCTGGTCCTTTGGGTGGAGGAGGTGCGGGGCTCCTGGAGGTGGTTTTCCTGCAGGTGGACTTGGATTTCCCGGTGGGGCTCCTGGAGGAGGCTTGCCTGGAGGAGGGCTCCGCCTGGTGGAGGTTTCCCTCAAAGTCATCCTGGGGGAGGCGGAGCAGGCATGCTGCTTGGAAATGTGCCGGCATGGTTGGGTGGTTTGATGGCCCAGCAGGAGTCGGTGAGGGCGGTGGACCTTCCAATGCTTCCGGAGTTGTCAGAGTCAGAGGTTGGACCCTTGGTTGCAGGTGACTGGATTACCACCATTGGACCTTTTTTGAGAGATATGAGTTCAAGCTCTTCTGTTTGGTGGGATGAAGTCTTGCGGGTGGCTGGTGCTCTTTAGGGTGTGGCTGAGCCAATGGAACGTCTGCGCCTGGTTCCAGTTTCTCCACCAGCTTTCCAGGTGGCGCCTTGGCTGAGGATTGAACAAAGGGGCTCGGTTGCTTTGATCAAGGCCCTTCCCGAGTCGTTGAGGTCGGAGCTTGTGGCCCAAAGAGAGGTGAGCTCGATTGGGATCATGTTCAAGGTGCTTCGTGTATATCAACCTGGAGGTCTTGGTGAGCGTACGACTCTCCTCAAGCAACTGGTGGACCAGAAGGTTCTTTCACCTTTGAGTGACTGGATGGTGGCCCTGAGGTCATGGAAGCGGTGGTTGACTCGTGTTCAGGAGTTGGGCATTCAACCGCCGGACGGGGTGTTGCTGTTGTCCACTTTGGATCGTTTTGCAGCTGGTCTTGCCAAGCATTCTCAGCAGGTTGCATTTAGGCTTGAAGTCACCAGAGCGGCGGTTGATACAGCACCTACAGAGCAAAGCGTTCAACAGTTTTCAGAGTCCTTGTTGGCAGAGGGTGAGGCTGTGTTCCATGGAGGGTCCACCTTACCTATCAAGGAGTCCGTCAAGGTGAAGGCTTTGGATGGGGAAGCCAATGTCAATCAATAAGGAGGACCTTGTGAAGAAGGATGGAAAGCATGACAGACCGAAAGACAGTGGAGAAGGCAAAGAAGCTCGTGAGGGCAAAGATGGAAAGTCGGGCAAGGCTGATGCCAAGGGAGGAAAGGGAGAAGGAAAGCACAGTTCAGGCGACAAGCCTGTCCGAGTCCGGGTGCAAGAAAGGAATTTCGAAGAACGGCAGATGTTGAAACTGTGGCTCTTCGCAGCACATGAAGCCGGATTGTCCTGTCAAGGATCAGCCGTTTGCGAAAAAGGGGACTGTTGATGATCGGAGAGGAAGAGAAGCAGAGGGGAAGGCCGGTGACAAGGGTGGACAGTCGTCGAATGGCGATGGTGCATTCCTACCTCCTGCAGAACTTGATCCGCCTCCAGCTGAAGCACTGGTTAAAGAGGCAGTACAGTTGTTGAAGTCGTTGAGACCTTCGATCAAAACTGTTTCGGTGTGCGCGGTGAACAAGGATCGGGGTCATCTTCGAGCTCTTCTCGACGGAGGTGCCACGCACATTTTGAGGCCAGCCAGGTCCAAGCAGGAGTTCGAGCAAGCTTTGCCAATCAAGGTTGAGCTTGCGGCGGTGTGGCTACACTCAGGCAAGTCCAGACGACAGGTACCCTGGTGACGGACTTTGACACTCAGCTCATCATTCCCTTGGGCAAGGTTGTGAAGCTCGGCTACAAGGTCGTGAAGAGTTCGAGATGCTGGATCCCAGGGGAGTGAAGATCGAAGTCCTTTTGGAGGCTGGTTGCCCTACGGTGGACCTTGGGGTGGCTCGTCGACTGATTAAGGAGTTGGAGGATCAAGAGATTGAGATGGAGAAGAGGGTCACTGCCTTGCGAGCTGGAGAACCAGGAGATCTTTCACCAAACATTTGGAGATGGCTGGCTCACTGAGTTGAGGAAGTTGTGGCCGGAGGTTCCTGACGACCTGTTAGCTAGTGCCCTCTGGAAAATGGACTGGTGAGCAGGTGCCTTTGAATCGGCATCAGCGAAAGCGCATCATGGATTTGGAGTCGGTCATCTTGCATTTGTTCTCTGGCCCTGACGCCTCATGGTGGAAGAAGAGATTGGAAACATCATCGAGGTCAGTGCTATGTCTGGACAAGATGATAGACCCTGCTCAGGACTTACTTTCCGATCAGCTGGTTAGCTTCCTGGCGGAGCTGTGCGAGGAAGGTACTGTGGATGTCATTTTGTTTGTAGGACTGTCTCCAAACTACGGTTTCGCCGGCGAGGTCCACCACCTTTGAGATCGAGGAGTGGGCCTCAGCGATTTGCCTTGGACAACCTGTCAGACGCCCTACGGGAGCTGGCATTCAGTGATGCGGTCCTATGGATGAGGCAGCTCTGGCTATATTCGTTGGCAGTGTCCGCGAGATGGTGATGTTTTTGAAGGAACAGCCTAGAGATCCCCAAGAGTACAAGGGGTCGGGTGATCCAGTCGATTACCCATCCTTCTTTGCCTGGCCGGAGTGGAGGACTTTCATCGAGAAGTATGGTGTTCGAGAGATCCGCCTGGACTTGGGAGCTCTGGGTCATCCGAGACGGAAACCAACTACTCTGGGAACGAACATTCGATACCTGCATCGGTTGGAGGGTCTGTCAGATTGTCGACGTGATCAGGTTCTGCCAGACGTGAAGTGTAGCTTGGGGGAGAAAACTTCAGCCAGTGCCTGGCCAGAGGAGTTTAAGACAGAGATCGTCAAGGGCATCCTCATAGAGTTGGAGAGGGACAAGTCAATGAACAGGGAAGAAAGGACCAGATGGTCGCCAAGCTGACTCCAGAACAGTGGAGGCAGCATATCCTGAATGATCACCTTCCGTACGCCAGAGAGTGCACCACGTGTCTTCAGGGGAGTGGGAGGAGTCGACCGCACAAGAAGGCGCCGCATCCGGGCGCCATGACATTGGGCGTGGACATTTGTGGGCCGTTCAGACCTGGTCATGACAGGAGGAAGAAGGCCAAGTATTTCACGCTGGGCGTATTTGCCATTCCGGTCCGGAAGGTGGAGGGCATGGTGGCGGCCTTTGCCTTTGGCCTTGGGTGAGACGATGGATGGTGATCCACCAGCTGAAGACATGGATGACAAAGATCTTCTGCCGGCCGAAGAAGTGGCTTGGCAAGAGGGGGACCCCAAGGTCTTGGAAGAATGGAAGAGGCTGGAGGTTGAGTCCCAGGAGATCGAGATTCAGAATTACACCATGGTGGAGACCTTGACTTCGCGGGAGGGTTTGGAAGTGAGGACATGCCTGGCTAGAATGGTTGCTCGCTTGAAGTACCTGGGCTTGGACGTCAGGAGGGTGCACAGCGATGGAGCAGCCGAGATGCTTGGTACCAGAAAATGGTGTGAAGACAGAGGCATATATCGCACTTTGACCAGTGATTGGAAGGCGAATGGCCGTGCTGAAGCGGAGGTGGGAGTGGTTCGCAGAGCTGTCAACACCCTCATCAAGGCGTCGGGAGATGGAGAGGAATATTGGCCCCTGGCGGCCAAGCGCGTGGGAGAAAGGAGAGGCCGACAACAGCTCGCTACTCTGGGCATGGTGACACCTACGCTTATGCCGTGGGGACAACGGGTGATGGTCACTACGAAGGGATGGGATGAGTTCCAAGGCCACTGGAGGTCGAGAAAGAAGGCAGGTCCGGATCCAGATATTATGAGTCTGACCAGCGGTGGAGATGGAGGATGGAAAGTTCGTCCGCACAGATGACATGGTGGTGGCGAGCTCTCCGCCGCTTTTGCTTAGAGGATCCGCCGTTGCGCCAAGGACAACATTGGCAACAAACGACAATAGACGCTGTCGTTGGTATACAACGATGTCGCATGTATCGCATATCTCGGATGCCTATACAAGCATGGCTCAAGTTAAAAGGATTGCGTGCACATTGCCGTATAAATATAATGCACAATTGTAAGTGCCCTGTATATTTTCTTACCAGAGGAAGGGGAACGATAGCATGTTCCGATAACATGCGACATGCTTGCAGCTTTGCATGGTGACAAATTCAGAATAGGACAAGTGGAAAAAGAGAAGAGGAAAACATTGCGCTAAAGCGCGCGACATCGCTAGTCCACACGACATGTGCCGACACCAGGCGATCTTTACGCATGTGCAGTTTTTGCCGTCTTTGTAGTTTTTGATGCATTAATTGCGATAAAGACATTCGCGCGCAACATGCTTCGGGCAGCAGCCGGCATCGCCAGCTCGAGCAACATAATTGGCACACAAACAGAATCGCCGTCGCAAACGACATGGTTGGACGCCAAACGACATCACAAGCCCACCCAACACTGCTGTGCCACAAACGACATCACCATGGCGCGCGACATTCCTGGACAACACACGACATCAGCGCACACCGCCCCATGTCATTTGGCGACACAGGGTCTGGGTGTATATACGTGACGCAACGGTTTTTTAAATGTCGCTTTGACACCACGCATGGTGGCCGGTTGCATTCATTCATGCAAAACACGCGCGGCCACTTAAGTGACGCAGGTCTTGAGCCATTTGACTTGCCTACCCAAGCTGTAACTCAGAATTTTTCTTGCGAAGGTGGGCGGTCAAAATGGTACGGCAGCAAACCTTTTTACACCAAACCCTGCCTACATATATATCATATATAGACATGGACACAACCTCCTTGAAACCTATAGAAGAACACGTTCTAGCAAATGACACATGGGCGTTTCTCAAAGCTGGGACCTGCCAAATGTGGATTTTTCTTGATAATACCATTAAACATTGAACGTATGGTTCCCAATTTTGAGACATGCACGCATTCACGATTCTGCCGTGCCATGTGCTTTGCATCTCTGCATGGCTCTTTTCTGGCGGCGCGCGCTGCAGCTGCGTGGTGTTTGGGCTGCATAACCCCCTGCAGAGACCCCAAAAGTTTTCATGCTTGGGCTTAGCGACCCCAACTCGTTTTCAGTGGCGATTGGGTTTTAAAGATGATTAATTTTGGGTACCGCTCTGAAGAAACTACCTCTCCAACATTGAAGCCGCTATGCCACCCTAAGCCAAGCTCGACATGTAGTTCGACAAAGCCAACACATACCGCTCCAAAGCTCTTCTTTGAACGGTGCCACCATGGCATTTCGTTGCAATACGTTTGATGCGGCCCAGGAACTTTTCGTCCTCCCATACATGAAAAAGTCGTGGGTTTAGTTTCGTGGCAGTTACATCCATGGCGATGTGCCACAAATAATGGTGCTTTGGGCGCATCTTGAACGCCATAATGGCATTCCCCCAACAAATTGACGCAAGACGTCTTGTGGTCCGCAAGTGCATCAGGAGGAACTTGGTGATTTCCTGGGATGCAAGTAGGGGCCAGGAGTGGACTGGCCACTTGAGAGGGCTTGAACACCAAACAGGTTTGGGATGGTTTGGGGACGAATGTATTGCGCTAGAGACTCTAGACTCTCAGGTTTTGTGGGCCTAATCTCTGTCTGGCCGGGGCTCGCTAGCTTCCTCTGATGACAGAATCAAGCCAGAATTGTCAATCAGTTCGATGGCCTTTGCCAAGGAGAAGGCGCACACGTTCAACAGCTGCATTTCGCCGTCTTCCTGATCAAGATGTTCGCAGCTTGGCGACCGGTTGCGGTGGAGGGAGAACCTTGAGAAATGGGCCCCGAAACATGTGACAGACACATCACTCTTGGGCATAAAGCCACTGGCAAAAGTGTATTGGGAAGATTGGGTTGACCCTTTGTCCATGAACTAAAAGGGTGACTGTTGTGAGTGAGTGACTGAATCCTTCGTGAGTTTGCCCACGTGGTAGGCAATCCACCAAACCATGGTCTTAATATGCTGCCCTTTGAAGCGGCTACCCAACTCGCAATAGTCATCTTGACCAAAAGATCCCGTGTTTGACAGTGTGAGCAACCGACGTGGCAAGTACCTCCTCGAATTGCGGCAAACATTGTAATGTTCAACCTAGGATCGAAAACTCGCTTCAACAAAAGTGAAAGTGTACTAGCCAAGAACTGGAACGTTGGGGCCGCGTCGCAGAATATATGTATATATATATGGTCGAATGTGAGAAGTGTCCAGTTCTGTGGCATACTACTCAGCGCAAGGGGCTTATGGTCTTTGCAATCTTGTCGCATGTTGAAGCTCACTTTCTTGAGGAACTGCTCGTCAGATTCGTTTACTTCATAATGGTATCCTGCTAACTTCAACATCTTGAGACAAGAAGGAATGTGGTTCTTTGCAATTCCTAAGAAGATGATGTGCATCATGTCAAATGTGAGGCTCTCGAATTGCCACCCTGGCACGACAGCCCAGGGCGAAATCTGCCTTGCCCCTTGGATGTATTCGTCATGGCCCTTGCAAGTGCGGGTATAGGGAGCGTTTTCTTGCAGGTTCTTGTAGCTGAGGGGGTCGTGGGCCATGGTGAATAGTTGGACGGCTTGGCAACGGTCGCACATTCGCCGAGAAAGGTAGTTCTCTTCCAACAAATGACATTGCTTTCTGGCTTTGAGATCGGCTTTGAAAGCCATGTAGATCAACCTAACTACAGGAAGGTCTTTTGAAGATGTAAGTAGGCAAAATTTGTGACCAAATACCACCCAAAAATGGTCAGCCATTGGTTAGCCTAGGAGCTTGGAGCCACCAGCAATTCTTTGTCCACGTAAAGAACTCCTGTATGTGTTGCGTTCGAACTCTTCCCCATAGAACCCTCGATGTGGATAAATGCCAAGAGCGGCATAGTGCAATGACCAGGCGCAAAGGTCAGCAATCGTTTTGTTGACACCCGCGCGTACCTGAGCTTGGGCAAAAGACCCTTTGGGGGACAATGAACTGCGGCGTTCAATCCAAACTTGCCGGGAAGGGTGTTTGTCTGGGAGGGCAGGTAGGCGCTCTCAAGCTGTTTAGGAAACTTCACCAAAAGGTTTCAAATGTAAACAAAAGACGTTTTCGTCCAGCATTTGGCGTTCTGCAACAATGAGTATGGGGTATCGGTTCACCAAGCAGTCATGGCCCCCACCAGAAGCGAAAGCGCTGCTCCAGTTCATCACCCAGAACTCGTCGTCACGGAACATTTCAGCACCATCCCCATGAATGCAACACGGTATTGATGTCTTCAACTCTTCAGGGGTCAAAGATTGCAAAACCGTGTGATACTTGAATCCGGGCAAGCTTTTCAGGTGATTCCAAAACCTGAGAATCGAAGCGCCGCTGTGGTTGCCAAACATCAATGATCCAAACTCACAGGGTTTGGCGGGTGCAACGACAAAAGATTCATCCCTCAAAGAGTCCGAAGGTTTACCCCTCTTTTTTAAAGAACAGCACGGCTCACATCACCAGTTAAACAACAACACAACCAGCTAGTTGATCACCAATACAACCATTGGACTTAGGCTAGCCTGATCGGTTTCGTACAAAGCCCCCAAGACCTCGTGCGGGAGCAGCACAGACGCATCGTGTTCCTGAGGAAGACATTCGCCTGGCACCTGAGATTCAGCCACCAAAGGTGAAGCTTGGTTTGCAAAGGTGGTGAACGGATCCCGGATGACTACATGGTCATCAACCTTTTCAAACAGTACAGCGAAAAAGCTAAAGTTCGAGGAGCTTCCAAGGTAAGCTTGATAGGATATGGTTCTAAACGGAACCCGTAAGCACCACGTGTCCACCTTCGAAAGTCCCTCTCTGTGTTGCTGGCGCATGCCCCATGCGCTCCACAGCTAGCAAGTTTTTTGAGTCCATCTGGAAGTGGGTGTGGAAAGTCAATTTCCGCAGCCCTGGCAATCTCTGTGGCAGTGGCTACATGGGACCCACCATTTCCAACCAGCTCTAGAAGCTTGTGAAGCAGCGCACTCTCCCTGAAAGAACTCGGCTCCGGTCGTATCCTTTTGGCAGAATCTTCGCCTGGCACACATGATGCAAGGATGGAAAAAGGAAATACCAATAAGCCCTGAGTCACCCAACATAGATTCCTGTACCACCTGTACTTCGCATAGCGAAAGCAAACTGTCACACTGACTGGGAGATGAGGCTGTACGCGTTCTCTACCTTTTTTGCTTTCGCGCCACTAGTCAAATCGACAATCAGAGCTGGACCGTATGATCATATGCTCACGATTTGTCAAAAACAACTTTCCGATGCACGCGTGACTTTTGCGTGACATCAGTGCTGCATACCCCACCCAAAACTGAGAGGAAGCTTACTCAGGCTTACCGGGTTTTGTCTTCGCTTTGGATTTTGCTTTTGACTTCTTGGCTTTGCTACCTTTCAGCATCCCATTTGCTGAAGCTTCAGCTTTCTCAAACCATTTCCCTTTTGTCTCCACCATGGCTAGGATCCGAGAGATTTCACGATCAGATGGTTCTTCTTTGGAGACTGCGGTTTTCAATTGAGAATACACACCTTCCATCTCAACTGCATGACCCAGCATTTGCGTCGCCAACTCACCAGCAAACTCCACACCTTTGAGCTGGATTGACTTCTGGCGCGCCGTCGTTGCCTTGCTGAGGACAATCTGCAGCGCTTCCATGCCAGACCTTGGCGAGCTTTGGATTTGGATTCTTGACCATCGAACCATGGTTGGTCAGCGGACGCTTGGTGAACGCGTTTCGAACCAGAACCTATTTCGTGGATGACCTCTTCCAAACAAAGGGTGTTTTGAACGATGTTTCAAAGACCTCTTCGTGAACCCAGCGCAAAGCCTGGCGCATTGTTGAATTTTCAAATGTCCCAACACAGGTTCAAGAATCCTATTTTCAAGTGTCCCAACACAGGTTCAAGAATCCTATATATATGTATATATAGTTTAGACTATTTCACAGGTACCATACTAGAATCCTACAAGGTCACTTGGTTCTCTTGTTCACAAAGAATGTCTTGAGTCTTGATTTTGACCTTTGAGAAATGTTGAGGCCCCAGCTCAAGGATGGTCTTGGGCTTCACCGGTTCTGCTGTCTCTTCGTCCTTTCTCCTCTTCGGTGGCTTTGTGACCTTCTTTCCATCGTCATCCAAGGCTTTCAAGAGGCCTTGGGCGCCACCGATGGAGGCCGCCTTCACTGCAGGCAACGCTCCTGCTTGCAGAGGACCGTCGTCTCCCGTCATTTCATTCAGCATGCCCCGGTCCAACTTTTTTTGAGCCTGGACTTTGAGAAGCTCTGACGTGCTGTCATCCTGGCGCACCACTCTCCCCTGAGGCATGTAGTACCAGGTTTCCTGCAGGTCAACAGCAACGATAGCAGTTAGGTGCGGTGGTGGGTGGTGAAGACCTAATCGGTGTGGTGGGAACATGTCAAAACACAACGGGATCCAAACTTTAACACGTTCAACTTTTTTCAGACCCCAGTCCAGCTCATCATCAGGATAGTCATCATCCTTGTAGTAGAGTCCAGCCTCAGTCCTTTTCTTGATAAGGTCTTGGAATCGGTCTTCAGGCATGGACGCCTTCAGCGTTTTGGCCTGCACCGCTGTCCACTGTTTGCGAGCCAAGTTCTTGGTCTCTGTTTGTCTTTCGACAACACATGCGACCTTGTCCCAATCTCGGCCGTTCTCAAGCCACAAGTTGAAAAGCTCTGTCTTTTGGCGCTTCAGCATCGGTCTCAGGGACTCAGGAAACTTCAAAGTTTTCCTCGATCGATCGAACTTGTCCCATGCATTTTTGTCCGTCTTACCTGGGCAAGCCAAGAGGGCAAAGATGAGCTAGTGAAGGCAAGACTGAACACAAACGATGAGACGACTATGGAGATGCCATAATCTAAGAGTACGTTCGCGCTGAAAGTTCTACTTGCTAACTAGTCAAGAGGGCAAAGATGAGCTGGTGAGGGCAAAGATTGAACACAAACTCTGAGAAGACCATGATGTATGGAGAGGCCATAATCTAAGAGCACGTTCGCGCTGAAGGTTCTAAATGCTAACTAGCTGCTGTTCCTCAGAGTGTTCTTCGCTGCGTCTCCCAACTCTCTCCCTTCTTTCTTGCCTCCTTTGCTTTCTTCTTTGTCTTCTTTCTCCTCTTCTTCATCATCATCTGCACATGGCTCGGCCTCTTCTGACC